AATTAAATTGTATCGATATGGGTGTTTTCTATGTAGATTATGCATGTATTTACAAAAAACAATCAAAGTATTTATCTCAGCGGTCTAGACCCATTACACAAGTTCTGCTTTCAGTGGGTTTAGATGGCGCCGTGTTAATTATCAAGGGTTATTTTCAAAGCAAGCCTTTTGATGGGGAGACAAAAGTGCCCACGTAAAGGACTTTGACCAAAGTGTACCTCAGTAAAATGGGGATTACAGGAAAATTACAAAAACTGTGTATGTACCAGTAGACATAGGCTGTAATTTTCCGGTGGGACATGTATAGAACAAGTTAAACTAATTATCAAAAGCTATCAGCGCCCACTCACCTCGTTATCTTAAGTTGCTGCCGAGTGGTGATAAAGCGGGGTCCCGAAAGCGTATCACTAAACCAACACTAGCCCGTTTCAAGTGTTATCGCGGGTGCACGATTTTTATAACACAACCAAGACGTTCCAACACAAGATAAGGTTTTATTTTCGTTCGTATCCAGTCCGGTACACGTCCGTCGCGACCGTTTGTTGGTAGCAAAGTGTCAGCGCGGAGTCTTGAGTCGCACGTTGTACGTTTGCACGCCCGAGTCTATATTACCCTGTACTATCGAACTTTGATAAGTTACTGTTAAGTTGTTGTTATGCAAATAATACATTTCTTCTTCCAATTGCATTATTTCTGCCTTTTTAATGGGAGAAAGAGCATTGTTAGTAATAACGGCTAATAACCCCATTGTTAGCAATATACCATGTCAGGTTGACCTCTATGCAGATCCCCCTGGAAACCATCGTGGTAAATTGTCATTTGCCAAGATGGACTAACCTGACCTCATGCTCCTCTTATCATTCTAGGGTAAGCCGTTACCGCAGACTGGTGCATCATTATCATTACTAAAAAATAAAAAGTCTTTAATTGTTGTACTACGTTTTTAGTAAATACAAAACCAAGTACCAACATATATATCGAAAATATATCCTTATTGAAAACAGGAATCAAAACATGGTGTCATCGGCTTTGCCTTGTTCCATTATTTTGGGTCTGCGTAATGACTTTATCTGCCATTAACCTCTATCCATCGTCACACTTGAATTTACACTCTTTTCATACTAATCCCTCATACTGTTAATCTTTAGTTAAATGATACTCCACGTCATATCGTATGAATTCGACAATACACGTAGGTATTTCAAGTTAACAATGAACAGATTCAGAAGAATGAATCATTTTACAATACTATTTAATATCAAAATATGACATTAACCCATTTCATCAACATTCTTGAAGAAACATTCTTGAATCATCATCACAATCACGTGAATAGGGATATTTTAGAAAACGTACGGCCAATAGTAAAATTATTTATTTCGTCACTTTGAGATAACTTAATAATTAAAAGAGGCATTACCTCTATCTATTGTGTGTTTTACAAAAAATTTTAGACCATAATATTTCTACCATTTAGATATGAGCCTGTAAACTTTAAGAACATGTTAATAAAGTGCCTATAAAATATTAATATTCGTTTTAGATGTCATTGAAAAAGCCACTACAATTATATTTAATCGAATTAGGTGTTATTTTGAGGAATTCCATTTCAATAATAATATAAATCCATTAAGTGCCACTATAATTATACAATCTTATAAAGATTGTACATTTTGGGAAGATATTGTAAAATCTGCTATCATTTAATGTACATTGTAAGTCGTCTCAAAATCTTGGATTTTCCTATTGTAAAAACAATTTAGAAAATTTCTTTACCGCAGATTGAATTTGGCATCACATTAATGCAGTGACGTTAAAGACTGAGGTGACTGACAAATCAATTCAATCTATCAATACTATTACAAATTATAAACCAAAGAAAAACCAATCATATTGCTACACAAATAAAAATGAAATTATCAGATAATTGCATTTTAAGTTATCAGTAGAGAAGTCCACGCAAATGCCTTCACAAATTACTTCGCGTTATCTTCCTATAATTACCTTTCTATAATCGGATAATGTACAAAAAAACAACAAATATATCCGGGGGGTCAAATTACGTTACGCAGGTCATATTTCATATTACCCTCGTAGTGCTCTGACTGATGAGATTCGTCGATTTGCGAATAGTGCATTAATTTTTACATTTCTAAGGAAAGAAAGGTTATCTGTCTGTAGACCTGCTAGAAATGTAATTTTAGACTTAAACTTGCTAGAAACTGAGTTGATTAACTAGAAACTTTTATCAGAGGTAGACTAGATACAACCAAGCCTTCTGTATGGGTATCTTTGTCTTATCCATTTCAGGCAGGCTCAAAGCAGTTACTTTGTGAGCTGTGTTTGGGTTGAAATGTAATATATGACTGAAATTTCAGAGTAAGTAAGTACGGCATCATACTCCACCGAAATAGCAACGCATAAAAGGCGTCACATAATAACATTATGTTCGTGGCACTCCTTATGTAGATATATATGTTGCAGGCGATGGTTTTATTATTGAGGGTTTTGGGCTGGGAAGGTTGTCATTAGCAGCGTCCCTACGATCGATCCTCAGTCCAATTTAAACACCGCCGAGGCTAGAACCCTTCACGGTACCCTCAGACTAAAGTCGTATCCGTCAGCCGGGAGTTAGCCTTGAGCCTTTCAATAAGCCCTTTCGCGGGTTTGGAGTGTCATCTACTCTCGTCTCCTATCGTCCGGTGAAACTGTACCATAAATACCAACGCCAACAGCATTAGAAATAGCTCGATAAAAAAATCTACCACTTGAGAGGTACCACGATCGTCACACGATCTGGATTAAGGTCGGTTTTGCAAAAAAAAACTATAATCAGGAAGAAAGAAGGTAACAACTATTGCATAATCTGCAAGTGGTTTACGAACAAAAAATATCTATGAATGTAGTAGATCTTATAGGACATAAACAATATGATACACGTCAGTGTATGGTGTGACTAATAAATTAATTGTTGAACTTATATAAATTAACACATTATATATAAATAGACCCACTTTATCCGAGTGACAGTAACAAATTACTATCAGATTACGGATATTTGGATTATGATTACCCAATTTATTACATATCTTATCGCCGAATTTATAAATCAAATATCTATTTGAAATATCTACTGCTTATAAGCAAATTGATTTGTTTTACTTTTCAAAACGCTTTTAGCTGTAATCATAGGTACATACCTATCTGTAAGATTAAAATGAAGGTATATAGTTGGAAGTAGATGGGATCGTCCAATCAATTATTGATTTGTACATATTATCAGTTTGTACCATATAGGAATTAACACAATTACTCGTTAGTTACAAATTTCAAGTCAATTTTAATAGGAATATTGAGCTGTAATCAAGAAATATTATTATACAATAAAATTTCTTTCTAACATATGATATTTCAAAATTTATTCGCAAATATATTTGAATAAATATTAAGGTTGGCTGGTAGAGAATGCTAATAGCATTAAGCCCGCCTATTGTACAAATGCAATAAAGTTTAAATAAATAAATAACTAAGTTTGCTCTTAAGATGTTGTTTGTATTCACACAAAATTTTAAATATGTACAGTAAGACCCTACTTAATGCGGGGGATACGTTCCAATAAGTTCCAGCGTTAAACGGAACAGCGTTCCTATCAATATTTTCATTACTATCAATATTTTTGTTTTCTTCTTGCTCAGTTAATTCCTTATTAGAGAGACTAGCTGCTGTTTTTTCCACTATTTCCTCGACGTTTATCCGTTATGATCAATCCCCGGGTTAAAATAAAGGCGCGCTAAACCGAAACAACATTAAGCGGGGTCTTATTGTACAAAATTTGCTTGAAAAGAGCACCAGCCAAATTTTTCGTCATTCTACTTGGCTCTACATATCGAATATATGATGTTAATAGACACTAAACATCACTATTCAATTTTCGCAAATTTTATAAAGAGATTAAGTTCATAATGGTGTGACGGTCAAGATAATGTGCGGTATTACTTATCTGATTATAAAATTTCTTTTAATGTCTCCTACAAACGGAGCTGCAATGAAAAACGTTCCAAAAACGCAGGAATATTGAAGCAGTTCAAGTTGCGCGGGTCATCTAGTAGTCTATAGGTGTATTAAGTTCATTTAAATAGAGATTATTGTAAAATTTCCACCTATAATTGTTAATCAATGTAGTACAATGCGATACACTCAATCTACAAAAGTTTATTGGTACAGGGGACTGTTTTGTTTGTCAGCATTTGAGCATAGACCGTGGTGTCGAGTGACGCGTTAAATTTCTCCTTACTCGTATGTTTGGAGTGCCTCGCCTTGAGTTTGCTAAGTTGTTGTTTTTATAACATGCAGGTTATTTTAAAATTATATGCATGTTTCTATAATATTACTTTTTGCTTTCATTCCTGGTGTTTGACCAATGAGTTTTTAAAGAAAAATGGTCGACATCATATTACATTATCTTTGTTAATTTAGATTTAAATCTTTATTTTTTAATCTATATACTCAACGTTACATATGCGTCATGGTCCAATATCATTGCGATTGGTAGCGTTTTTTTTCACAAAAGAAAGTGTTGTAAAGTGTATTTTTTTGTAAATTTACCCAATAAAGACCTCATGTTGATTTTCTTCGAAACTTTTAATGATTTTCTTTATTAATCTTTCCTATAATGTTTAAAACTTTAAAGTATGTGTCTAACTTATAACTTAAACTGTATAATTTTGTACTATATTCAACACAAAAATGTACAAACATTTTTAAATTTTATAACCATAAACTCTTAATGACTTGAGGTGACAAACCTTCATACTTAATGAGCCTGTAGTTGTTTTGTTGCCGTTACATTTTGAACAGGCGTCCAAGAGGAAGTTTTAATCCAAGACCTTTTTTAAGTACATTGCAAATTTTTTTCAAAATTGCATATTTAGAATGAACGGTTTAATTATGTCAATATACTAGGTATGTTAGGTATAAATATAAAAAAAATGTCTACTCACCAAATTCCAGTTTCTAAAACTAAGTCCACATTTTCTGGTAACTCTAACCGGAAACCTGAAAAAAAAAATGTTTTTAATTGAACAGATTTATATCTATAATAATGTTATTAATAGAGATAAGGGAAGTATACTCTGGAACTAGTGCACTGAATTGAGAAATTCTTTCACTGTTTAAAACGTAAATTATACGAGCAAAACTTACATAGTTAGTACTCGGGGAAATCTAGGGCGGGCGATTAGTGTTATATAAAATAAATAATAAGCAAGACTAAGGGTAGTGGTAGACGTCAACGATATTTTACAGTCTAGCTTCGGTAAGTTGTCAAGAACGCCAAGAATAGGTATTTTAATCTTGACCCAATCATTTGATTAAATCAAATTGATTGAAAGCCGTGCAATGAATTGATAACACCCAAAAAACACAGTTTCAGTAATGTTTTTAAAACTAGCTAGCTAGCAAACCCGCCCCGGTTTCGCACAGGTGTATATTATACATAAAAACCTTTCTGTTGAATCGCTCAATCTAATGCTATAAACTGAATTAAAATCCGTTGCGTAGATTAAGAGATCTAAGCGAACAGATAGCGGAAGCGACTTTATTTTATACTACGTAATAAGTATAGTGTTTTATTTATATATAATAAATAAAAAAAATAACCCTGGACAATTAACACAACGCCATCGGTAAGCAAAACTTGTGTTATAGAATATATAAAATTTTTTTCGGTAAATAACATAGTAAATACATACATTATAATACATAGAAAAGATCCAGACCGATACAAACAATCTATGCAATCATACTCATGAATACAAATGCTTGCACCGTGCGAGGAATCGAACCCGCGACCATCCGTAGCCATCAAAGATGATGATTAAATAAACATGCTTACCATCTGTGTATATCCTTTGTATGATACTGGCCATGTCTTTCACTTCTGCCGCGTAGAAATTCTCACCGCTGTACGGTGTTATACCTAAATCTGAATAAAATGTAGTTTGGATGCATATTCTAAACAAGAATGAATGTAATTATTTTTTTATTTTTATTGGGTTGTTTGGGCTATTGTCATGTGTATGGAGGTGTAACACTGCGACCTGCATAGATCTATTGTGAGATCTGTGTGAGATTAAAGTTAGACCCGTCAAGAATTGAAGGATATTCTTAGGAGCGATGGTTTTTATCTACTCAGAAAAGAGTGTAAACTTTCTAAAGGAGATATTTCGTTTATGCATGAGTCGGCTACAACCACATAGGATGTGGAGTGGCGTTTCCTCTTCAGTTTGGCAAAATCTGCAGATTTTTGTTGTGCTGAGGTTTGCCATATGTATATAATGTTAAATAACTTATAGTTTGGTTAGCCCTAAGTTATTTCGAGTCGTGCGATTTTCAAACTAAATAGCGTCGGGCTCTTACTATGCGCGGGTGCAATTCTTGAAGGGTCCTCATTATTTTTTAAATAAAATTTCGGCCCAACTTACTTGCTGATCATGTAGATGTCTAGAGGTGATAAAATTTTATATATGAATTTTCAGTTTATTCATTAGGAATAGAATCAAATCTTACGTTTTCATAGTATCAATTTAAAAGTTATTCATTTTAAATAATTTAAAACTATGTATATTATTAAAAACAATATAATTATTTAGTATAAGGCTTTTGCTGAAATAAGGCAGAATTTTATTGAATGGTGCATCGATATGGGGATTGTATGATGTGGTTTAAGTCAGACAAAAGTCAGGTCCGTCAGCACATAACGGCGAATACACAAGGAAAGAATTAAGCATCTCAGTTTCAAGGAAGATTGCGCAGGGGTCGACTGACATAGATCGCCAGAAATGGGTCTTTAGCTACCTAATTAGCATTTTTACAATAATTTATAGACCTCAGTGGATTAAAAAGACGTGGATAGAAACTCTCTTATTCGAGTCAATATTGTTTCATACTACAATTAGATGGCGCTGTATTTTTTCATGTAAATTTTAAAACGCGCACTTAATATGTTTTTGTCGTACCTTATAGACATATGTAATTATTTTTATCCACTTAGATCAAATAAGGTTGTAATTTCGTAACTGTATTTCATTCAATAAGTACAAACATACATACGCTCCTGATCTCCAGAACCTCGATTTTAAACACTCTTTCTCAACTAACCAAAGTGTCTCATTTGCATTTGTTGCATATAATTGAGTTGTGATTCTTTGGAGCAATCTTATTTAATAAACAATGGGCATAAAAATTAATGGATCGTTAAAATATAGCAGCACCATTGTTACGAAGTAATTCAGACTATTCAAAACTAATATAAATACTTGTTTTTTGTAAAATTATTATTAACGATTAATAATTACAAAACATTACGAAACATCATCCCATTATTATTTATGAAGGTATTGTTCTATTTGTTAATACAATATATATTATTTATTCTTGTGACAATCGATGGCAAATAATTAAATGCAAATCTGGAGTGTACAAATTAAATTAATAATTCGACATTTTGTTCTATAAAAAAAGATGACAATAGCAGTGTATAAACTTAGTTACAGTATAGGAGAAGCTCGTTTACAGTAGACTATTTTTAATTTATAATAAAATAAACATTATCTACTTGAAAAGAAAGATTGTAATATATCTAAGCTAAAGCTGAAATAGCAAATATTTAGTAGTGGGTTTTTTCTTAACTATATTTATCCACACGATAAAAAAGGAGTTCAAACTTCTGCTCAGATTGTCGTATATTCGATCCCCATTGGAATGGAACAGGCGATCGATGTCTCTTACACCTAAATACTTATTTGGCACTCTGTTGATTGGATATTCATATTTTATAAGTTAGCTGTGCCCGCGGTTTCACCCGCATCAATTTCAATATAAAATATAGGCTATGTGTTATTATGATGCCCAAGCTGTCAAGTTTCTTTATATTACTGTAAAGTTTCATCAACATCTAACGGGTTATTAGAGACCGCATGCCCACCGGTGGGTCACTCCGCAACGAAAGTAAATTTACACATTGGGCACCCGGTCCCAATTTGAGGTAGACATCACCCGTGGGTAATGTCTACCTCAAATTACTGTACACTAAAAACATATTTAAAAAAGAATACACTTAATTAACAATAAAAAATGATGGTCCCTATGTGAGAAATAAGATTTTTCAATGCGATCTTCAACGTGTTAAATATTAAACTGTTTAAATATATATTTGATAAAAGGATACAATTTAACATATCCGTTAATGAGCCGGGGTGGTCCGGGGGCGGGGGTGGTGGCGGCGCCTGCGCCCGTGGGGGTGTGACTGCGCGCAGTGTGTATGCTCGCACATACTCCTTACGCAGATCGTGGAAGCGCGCGTAGTATACCGGCAAATTGATGTCCTTACTGCACGCCTCCGGGTGAAGACATTGTCTGTAAATATAATATTCCTGAATTAAAATACGTTATAAATGCATATAAACAATTGATGGCCTAGGTGGTTTACTGGTTTAGCACACAGCTTTACTTCCGATGGTGCAGGTTCGGTTCCTCGCCCGGCACAAACATTTGTATTCATGAGTATGATTGTTTGTATCGGCCTAGTTGTTTTCTATGTGTAATATGTATGTATTATATTTACGAAAAAACAAGTCTAAGTATTTATATCAGTTGTTGTTGTTGTTGTACCCATAACACAAGCTCTGCTTACCGTGGGACTAGATGACACAGTATTCATTGTACAGGGTTATTAATTAATTTATATTAATAATTTGTAGTAAACGCGAGAGTTTAAAAATATTTAGTCTCTGTTTCACCCCTGTACAACGGTTGTGTTTTTACTTAAAATGCGTATTTTTTTAACAACACCAGTGCGTAGTAGAGATTGCAGTTCGGTATGTTTTTGACTCCGGCCAGGTCCGCCCGGCCCGGCCTGGTTGAGTCCGGTCACCGAGCCCCGTATGGCCGGACCCGGTTTGCAACCTCTAGTGCGTAATCGACCAGAAAAAATTACGTAAATAATACACGAGTAGCTACTACCTCCACAAACATATTCATGTTCGTCAGTTTATCTTTTTTCTTCTGTAGACTCTAATTGGTGTTTGTATATCTAGTATTTTGTATGCTAAATTTGCATATTGACATTTATAATGAACATGTACGTAAGTACTTTGCAGATGGTTGAATACTTACAAATGACAGAGATTCTCTCTCAGGTTTGAATATGAAATACTACGATACCTTTATTATGACTCTGTATACAAGATTTATAATATTTTCACCTAAGTTAAAGCCCGTGATACCACTCATGCATCTTATCCTATATTTTCACTCAAGTTATTTCCCCCTCCGATCGATCCCCCGTCCAATTCAAACGGGGATCGAAATTACGACGGCCTGAGCAGAGGTTCGAACCCCTCGTGGTGCCCTCAGACTAAAGTCGTATCCGTCAGGCGGGAGTTGGCCTTCAGCCGCTCCATAAGTCCTTCCGCGGCTTTGGAGTGCCATCTGCACTCGCCCCCTAACGTCCGGTGAAGCTGTAAAGCCCAGCTGCGGCCAACAGCATTAGAGTAGTCCGAAAAAAAAAACAAGTTAGAGCCCATGATACATCTCATGCATCTTAATCTGTATTTTCACTGCCGTAAGTCGAAACGAAAAACATTGCTTGGCAATAAAATTTTATGAGACAAAGGCTGTAGAAACTTATTAATTTATAGTCAAAGATTATAATTAAATAGTAAAGTGCTTTGAAATAGTAAATGAATCCTTAGAAGCAGTTAAGTAGAGTAAACTATATGTTGCCTACGTACTGGCCATATATAGTTTTATATCTCATATTTAAATTGTATTTTTTACTAATTTTTGTATATAGAACCTTAGTGTCGAATCAATATTGTGACAGACGACAACACTAGATGGCCAGCACGTCAGCAACAATCGAATTTTGACCGATTTACGTACATCAAAATCTCGTACCCACTAGTACTAGGATGGTAATGTCCTTGTACCGAAGGTCAACAATCTCGTACTTGTAGGACGATTTTCGTACGGTGAGCAAACCTTCCATGGCAACAAGTCGATACCGTAAATATTCAATGTATAGATAGACTAAGTATGCCGGCGACTTCGTCCGCGTGTTATAGTGACTTTGACCAAATAAATAAAAAATATTCAATACTCCAGCCCAAAAAAGGCAAAGAAAATAGATTCATCGTTCTAGCTTCAAAAATTTTCTTTTCCCCCTTAAGGGTAATAATATTTTTACAAACTTTGAACGTCACATTTATTTACATTTAAACAACAGCCTAAAAAATAAGTTTCAAGTTTTTAGCTTTAAAAATGACGATATTTCCGTACAAACTTACACCTCCTCTTTCAACCACTTACAACATTTTTTTTGCTTTAAAAAGTAGCCTATGTCCTTTCTCAGTGACTAGACTATCTGTGTACCAAATTTCATTTATATCGGTTCAGTAGTTTTGTCGTGAAAGCGAAACAGACAGAGTTACTTTCTCATTTATAACATTAGTAAGGAAGTAAGGATTAACTCCATATGTTATACGCATTATAAAAAACGAAGGTCTTTCACACACAGCCAGTGATACTAGATAAAGGTTAATTTATTATTATAATGAATTACGAAACCACAAAAATAACAAACGACGCTACATATATATGTACATGTATATCAGAAATTGTGTTCGTCGAACTTTGAACTGGCCCTGAAGAGCGGGAAATAGCATTGTTGTCAACCGTATTAATATTTAGTAGCCCTCAATTATGTATGGTCTTGAATTGTGTGGAGAAATACATTATAGCTACAATGTATTTAAAAAAAACATAAAGCTATATTGAGTTTCGTTTGATTTGTTTGTTAGTAACATTACAGAATAAAGTCGCTTCCGCTGTATTCCGCGTATTTTAATGTACTTATAAATAGATAGTGTGTGCTGTGATAGAAATTTAGTGAAATAATTATAAGGTAGAATTAGAATAGAGTTGATATTTTTGTTTTTAAAATGATAAATGATTTTAATAATTATTTCGTTTATAAAATTACTACCCTATCACCGAGTAATATGCATCTATATTTTATTTTAGAAAATAAATAAGAGAAAATAAGAGTGATCCAAGTGGAAGGTTTACATGTATAATACATGTACACACGCGCGAAGTCAGGACGGGTAGTTATTTATAGATAAATTACATTCGATTTGAAATTAATATCTTTTTCGAATAAACCTAAAATACTCTAAAAATCTACCTATCTTTCATTATTAGCTGTATTTTATATATTTACGTATATACGAAAGTAACTTTGTCTGTCTGTCTGTCGCGATTTCACGCCAAAACTACAAAATTTAAATGAAATTTGACACAGACTACTGTTTAATGTGAAAAAAAATGAAAAAAAGTCAATACAAAGTTTGATTGTCATATTTATTTTCATTTAATCATCAGCCAACAGAAAATAAGTTTCAAAATGTAACTTTAAAAATGACGATATTTCCAAACAACCTTTCATCTTCCCTTTCAACCCCTTGCAACTTTTTTTTCGCATTAAAAAGTAGCCTATGTTCTTTCTCATGGTCTAGACTATCTCTGTACCAAATTCCATTTAAATCGGTTCAGTTGTTTTGGCGTGAAAGCGAGACAGACAGAGTTACTTTCGCATTTATAATACTACTAGTAAGGAATAGGGATAATTATAAAATAATAAAAAATCTCACGTTAAAAACGGAGGTAATTGCTGCAGTAGAAAGGGACAGTGGTTCCAACAGAGGGGAGCTACATAATTACTATTTACTAGTATTATATCTATAGCAGCTATTTATACGTACATTTATGGTCAATATAATTGCTAATTGCAGTACCGGATGTTGGAATACCGATTACATCCGTTTTTTACGATTCCGATTTATTCCGATCGACAGATAACAAAACTGGCTGCAACAATATTCATGTAAATAAATGTAAATGTATGTAATATTTTTAGTTTTCTATTTCTATCCTGGGTGTTGAATAAAACACGACCGAACAGAGGTCAATAGGATGTGTCTTAGAATTTATAAAGTTTTAATATCTTTACTAATATTACAAAGTTGAGGAGTTTGTTTGTTTGAACGCGCTAATATCATGAACTACTGGTTCGAACTGGCTTCAAGCTATATAACATTACGCTACGACCTATAGGAGAGGCGCTACAATGAAAAATATTGCAAAAGTTGTGAAAATAAGGCGCAGACGAAGTATAATATAAGGCTCTGATTTATAGAATAATCGTAAGAGATAAGAGAATAACAATTTTAGCGGAATGTAGGTACCTGAGTGGTGTCTGTCCGTCTGTGACGAGCCTGAACAGCGGCGACTGTGGGTCCACCTGAAGTGATCGCACGAACTCGTCGAACTGTAACAATACAATACATATTAAATATAGGGATCGCTCAAAACGTACATATTTCTATAACCACAGAACATTAAACTACACAACGGATTTTAATGCAGTTTTAAAAATAAATAGAGTGATTCAAGGGGAAGGTTTATATGTATAACTAGATTTTGCCCGCGGCTTCGCTCGCGTTAATTTATGCCCTTAGTGGTGGAATTTATCAAAATCCTTTCTTAGGGGATGCCTACGTCATAGTAGCTTTATGCATGCAAATTCTCAGCACGATCGGCTTAAAATTGACAAAGTTTCATACAAACTTTCATCCCCTATTTTATCCCCTTGGGGGTAGAATTAATCAAAATCCTTTCTTAGCGGATGCCTACGTCATAACATCTACCTGCATGCCAAATTTCAGCCCGATCCGTTCAGTGGTTTGGGCTGTGCGTTGATAGATCACTACGTCAGTCACCTTTGAGTTATATATGTTTAGATATATGTACATACAGCTGCGACGGGTAGACCAACCACAACCAACCAACTCTATGAAGGAGGACTACTGGCTGAATAGAAGGGTGTGGTATATTGGAGCTACCGTCGCAGATTGCCGTCGTCAGAACCATAAGCATACAGACAATTTCAATATTTCTATATCTTAGTTTTATAATATTCATTCATATGTATATTAGTCTATAAGGTAGTTATAATATGTGTCTAGTAGCCTGAAATCTATATATCTATGCAAATAAATATAATTGGAGTGTCTGTTTGTAATATTGAAATAACCGTTTTTTACTACATGCATGAATATAAATGAACACCAAAATAACATTTTTTACGTAGTTTGTGCATTAAGTCAATCATCGTGAGAAATAATTATAATATCCAGTAAAGACTACATCAGATGTGCGGGGAGTCAACATGAAATCTGTTCTACCACCATCGCTGCCATTTGCTTTCATCAATAATTTGGAAAACGTCACATATGATTATGATATTTTTTGTTCTATATACCGCTCAAGCCAAAAAATTAGGAGTTAATAGATATAAATTATTTCATTGTCAGATATAGTCAGTAGGTATTTATTAAGCAGTTTGTTATTCGTTTTTATGATAGTGTTGCATACAATAAAAACAACTGGTTATTAAACATTTGTATCGACAAAAAAATACAAATACGACGATTTGAGACTTGAGTATTTATCGTTAATTCATTAATACACACAGTAAAAGATCTATCTTTATAACAGTATTTATTTGTACTCCCACACATTGACGGCGTCGATGGTGTAGTGGTTTAGCACACCGGGTTACTTCCGTAGGCCGCGGGTTTGGTTCCTCGCACGGTAACAACGATTTAAGTGGTTCTGCATAAAGGCAGATAATAGGGGAGAAAGGGAAATGCTAGTAATGTGGGCTCTTGACGCTATTGCTAGCAAAGTACCATGTCAGGTTGACCTTCACGCGGTTCCGCCTGGAATCATGGTGAATTTACCACGATGGGTTATTTTATGGATGATAATGAAATGGTGCACCCGCCTGCGCTAACGGTTTACGCTGGCAGGCAGCTCACCAGTGGAGGATGATAGGATGAACATGAAGTTAGGTTAGTTAGCCCATCGTGACAACCTCACCACGAACTTATCACGATGGTTTCCAGGGGGAACCGCGTGGAGGTCAACCTGACATGGTACATTGCTAGTAATGGGGTCATGAGTCCACATTACTAACAATCTCCTTTCCCCCCGGGGCATCAGTGTTAATTGACCTGACCTGATGCTCATCCTATCATCCTCCACTGGTAGGGCACCAGTACTAGCGTAAACCGTTAGCTCAGACGGGTTTAAAAAAAGTTAATAAAATAATAATAATTATAACCGTAAACGTCGAAATTTCTATAATTACATTTGTTATACAAGAATAATAATGCAATTAACAACGTGACTCTACCAAGATCTGATAAGCGTCGCGATATCAGAAACCTCCAAATATTAAAAACAAGTTGATTGCATACTGAAAGTAGAGCGCTTTCACTGTTACGATATATCTATGTCCGTGGCATTCAAGTGGATGAGCAGGAAATAACAAATATATATTAAATATGGAACTTATAGAATCATAATTAATACGTGAAGCAAAAACTTTGTACCCGTTATTACAAAAATTGCACGAATTGAGGAGTATGAATTTTCGCACAATTATACTTTATATAGACAAGGGGTCCAAAATACCAATACTTCTTTTAAATTATACATACACTTGTATAAATATACATAGTATAGTATAATATATATTATATAAATATTTATATAATTCTTTTTCTTTATTTTAAATGATCTCCACCAATTTTGATCGGTGATTTTGCCAACATCATTGTTTGAGAGACACAGTGTAATTTGTAGCTGTGGTATATTTTAGTTTACTCAGTAAAGTTTGACAGTTTGATTCAGTTTCAGTATATTATAATTAAGGACAGGACAACACCTGAGGGACAACAAACAATTATTAGTAGGGTTTTCATTATTAGGTGGACAATACTAGTTAGTAGGACAACACAAACATAGACACTTAATATTAAATTGAGGAGAGCCGGTTCGGAATTACAATTTCACATTATTGTTAATTATAAATTATATAATTTATATATATATTAAATCTTAATATTTTACGACTGATGACAAAACATCAATGATGAATGTCAAATAATGTCAAAATTCTTAATTGTCAAATCAGCGAGTCGAGGTTTATTTCTGTACAGTTATCGAAGTAATCTATATAAATGCTACTCTTTGATAACAGACCCTTAATGTTTAAACTTGTAAATTAAATTATTTATGATATATTTGCGACTATTGTCGACAATATACTAGACTAGTTTATTGTATTAATTCAATAAAATATATCACTAATACACAGATAATTTGTAATAAAGCATTACAAATGTAAAACGAAGACATTCATAACATTCTTTTAAACGTCCTTTATTTACCATAAAATATAAAATTTTAAAACCTCTAATTCCTAATAATTCCAATAAATAATCCGTTCCTTTACATTATCTCGTCTCCTTTCTTGTTTCATTCATTCATAATTTAAGAGCGACGCTCTTGTCGGTGGACTTTCCACGATCCTCCATCATACTCTTTGAACATAGGTCGAAAAAATTGTGATGATGCCTGGCTTCAAAGTCTTGCTGACAAGAGACGGAATCGCCATGTAGGCGTCTCAATACCGAGTACGGCCAATAATTTCTCTTGTCGAGCCTGTGGTAGGCCATGCCGCTCTCGTAAAGGTTTATATAGCCACGAAAAGAGCTGTTCACAGACCAAATCGTCTATAACAGATGCATAGGGAATTATATATAATATGCAACACTAGGCTCTGACCAAAAAGACAAATTGTGACAAGTGTGAAAAGTTATGTCATAATAGTAATAAGATGAAAAAATCGAGTCTCTTGCTGTCAACCGTAGCAGCTCTGAATGGAAGAGTAAAAGTAATTTAAAAAAATCCTGACGTGTATATATGACAATTGGACAATTCGATATGTATAACGAAAATCATAACATATGTGTAGTATAAAAGGCGACGTAGTAATAAATTACGCAACGGATTTTAATGCAATTTTCTGCAATGGATAGAGTGATTCAAGAGGAACGTTTCTATGATAATACATGTGTATATAGTATAGAACAAGCTGAGAAATTTAAAGATTTGTGATGCTAATGTGCGGACCCGGGACGGGTCCCTAGTGTATTTAATAAATCAAATTCACATTAAAAGAAAGACAAGAAAAGTTGACGCCATCACTGTTTGTTCTTTGCGGAAGAGAGAGAGGTAAGCATATAATAATAATAATTTATAGACGGCTTCGGTGATCTAGCGGTTTAGCACATTGCTTTACTTCCAATGGTCGCGGGTTCAGTTCCTCGCATGGTACAAACATTTGTACTCAAAATGTTTATTAGTATTTACAAGAGTTGTCTAGTTACACATGTTCTGCTTATCTTGGAACTAGATGGCGTTGTGTGAATTTTCAAGGGCTATTATAATATTAATACATTTTTTTCCTATAATTAATTATATTTTGACGACAACAGTCTATTTTAATAGATGTAATTATTAATCCTATATTAGTAAATAATGCTGTTAAACCCATAGTCTCAGACTGCGATAGTCTTTTTTGCAAGAAATTACTTTTAACGGCCTCGCGGTAAGGGATATCGCTTTTCTTCCGATGGTCGCAGGTTCGATTCCTTGCACGGCACAAACATTTGTATTCATGAGTATGATTGTATCGGTCTGGGTGTTTTCTATGTATAATATGTATGTATTTACGAAATAAAATCTATGTATTTGTATTAGTTATCTAGTGCCCATAATACAAGCTTTAGGTGGCTTAACTTGGGTCTAGATGGCGCTGTGTGAATTGTCGAAGGTTATTTATTTATTTATTATATAGGTAATGTAATAAACTTTGTCTTGGCCGGGTAACTTCTTTTCTATCTGATTTAATATTAAGCTATTTAATAATATATGTTAACATACGACTTTGTTTTCAGCATGATTTGAACTCACCATCTACGGGTTCAATAATTTGGTAGATAACAGATAAAAAAACTGCAGATTACTGCAAAAATGTTAGGTGACAATCTACTAATTTTCATTATCTATATATAGATAGATAGAATATGCTTTACTTGTATTATACAATGATAAAGAATAGGTGCAATTATTTATATAAACATGTGTATAAATACATCAGCATTTCTTCAAAGCAAGTCATTCTCGTTATGATGTTATTTAACGAGATTAATTTATTTTTAATTTATAATTATACTAGCTGTTCCCGCGACAGCGGCCGCGTGGATTATAACTTTACATTTCTAAAATTATAATTTTTCTAAAATAAAAATAGCCTAAGTTACTCCTTATTACATCAGCTACCTGCCTATAAAAATCCCGTGAATCGGTCCAGCCGTTTCAGAGATTAGCTGGAACACACAGACAGACAGACAAAAA